ATTTTTTGTACATCTATCATATGCACGCGCTTTCAATTTTGATTCATATAGAACTTCTTTTGCGTTCACGAGGTTTTCGGTAGCATTTGCAAGAATTTTGGTGGCATCCACGGTGGCCTATCGAATGAGTTGGTCTTCATATGTAAATATGCACACATACGAAATTAACGATTAATTAACATACCTGTGTATCAAGTCTCTCAAAAAACAAGGTAACTTCTGGACAATTAAATGAACGTTCTGCATTTTCATGCAGTTTCTGGGCTCTTTCTTTTGCCTTTTTAAGCATCGGTCCAGTTGATATTATTGAACGAAGGTGCTCCTTGTACTTTGTAAAAATCTCTTCTTTATCTTGTGAAGTCAAGTGAACACACTTTGTAGCTAAATTTTCAAGAAGATCCAGGGAAGCCCAATGTTCAATCGCTCGGGTATTAAAATAAGATGCAATTCCACTTGAAATATCCATCTATAGAAAACTTTAATTAGTAACTAGAAATAATGACCTTGTAAGTACATACGAATCACAGCAATGGCATTGACAAAAATGAGTTTCTGGTAAGAGTTTGTTGCACCGAATCTACTAGGAGGATTACAACACAGGCTGTAATGGGTCCAAGCAGGCGTTACCCGTCCCTCTTCCAAGCATTGGCCGCAGGGGTCCAATAAATGGCCAGTCCACATACGGGCATAGGAACTCATTTAAGTCTGATATACTGGCAAGAGTTTGTTGTACTGAATCTACTAGGAGGATTGCAACACAGGCTGTAATGGGTCCAAGCAGGCGTTACCCGTCCCTCTTCCAAACATCAGCTGCAGGGGTCCAATAAATGGCCAGTCCACGTACAGGTGTAGGTATATCGTGTGATGCCAGAGCCGTGAAGACAAAAGAAAGGTAGTCATGGCTTACTTTATGTGGCAATAAATAAAGACGAATAACTCCCAAAGAAAGTTTCTTAAATACGTATTCTTTATATCTTAGATAACGTTCCTACAAAAAATTGGTTTGAACAATCAAAATTTAAGATCAAAATATCAAAATTTAACGTTAAGATCAGAGTAA